CATTAATACATAAAAAGTCCACACAGCTCAAAATAAATTGACAAACACTAAAACTAAGGATATTCTATTTATAATTTCTGTTAGTTTCAGTTAGTTTTGTAAAAAGATTATACAGTTTCAGTTATTGTTTTTTCATTTTATTACAGTTTTTATTTATTTTAGTTAACTACAATGTTTTTTCCAATGTCAGTTTTCATTATTTTGTTAGTTTTAGTAGTTAACTATAATAACCCTGCTTTAGACCCATTTGCATTCTAAAACCCCAACACCCATGGTTTGAAAGAGGATTAAAAAATAAAGATAAAATATTAAATTCTAGTCAGAATTCTGACTTTAATCTCAGATTTTTTTCCCTCTGGCCCTAATCCTCAKTTGCACCATGTTGATTTTTATGGGTTAAATAATGTTTGATGTTTAAATGTAAGGAGTAGAAGTTAAAAAGTAGGCTGAAAAATAAAGACTCCAGTCCAGTATAAACAAGCCAACTTCCTAACTAAGTGTTTGTAGTTTCCTACCTGCCAACAGGTGAGAGGCCGGGCAGGTGAACTGCACGGTGCACAGGCTGAGCTGCCTCAGAGGAAGCAGGAAGTCCAGGTCCAGCAGCGGTGTGGAGCAGGACGTGATGGACAGGTGCTGCAAGCGGTGAAACCGTTTCAGGTCCTGGACCCGGACCCGTCCGTCTCTCCAGCCGTGCAGTCTGAGGACGTGAAGCAGCGGGAGCCAGGCACAGAGCCGGCTCAGGTCTCTGCTCTTACCTGCACGCAGACACACTCTGCTCACCTGACGCTGGATCAGGCTGCACCGGAAGGACCGGTCGTACCGGGACAGGTCGTGCAGAACCACACTGAAGCCCCGCCAAAGGGTACAAGACTCGTCGATCAGCTGTTTGAAATGTAAACACGAGCAGCGCGCGCTCAGTTTGTCTCTCCAAGACAGGAAGCTGAAGACCTGAATCCAGAGTTCATCAGGAAGCCCCAGTACCGACCTCATCATCAGGTCCTGCTCCACATCCGCCTGGATCTGCTTCCTGCTCACGCGCTGCCCTGTGACGCCAGAGTCACGGCAGCGCGCATGCGCACGGACCAAAACTAATGAACATTCAGGTCTGCAAGAACCGTGAGAATAATGGAAACAAAAAAGAAAAACAAAGTCGTATTGTCACATGTCTGACCAGAATCACCTGTCGTTTGCCTGACTGATGGAGGAGCTGCTGACAAACAAACAAACAAACAAACAAACAAACAAACAAACAAACAAACAAACAAACAAACAAACAAACAAATTAAAAACAAACAAACTGGACTTTTCTATTCTGAAGGAAGACATTTCACTTCCCACTCAGAAGTCTTTCTCAATTCGAAGTGTGGAGCTGTGAGCTTTACAGGACTGCCTGAGAACATCCCTCATTATTCAGAGCTCTTATGGAGAAAGTAAACTTCAACACAGGAGAGCAGATTTTCAGGACAAGACTCTGTCTGCTGTCCTACGTCTCAGGGAACCAAATGCTCACATTTTAGACAGAGAAGAACAGAAAAACCAGAAAAAACAACTTTAAATGGAAGTGTCAGTCTCAGATTTCATCTTTCAGAAACTTAGCAGCTTGATTTAGTCATCTTTGTTCTGAATCATACGGTCATGCATGTGAGCGAAGCTTCCATTTCACGACTGCAACTGTTAATGTGACCTCACTCCTCAGCTTGTCTGTGGCTGAGTGGTTAAGGCCAGTAGTGTGCAGACATTTCAGGGGCAGGTGCTCAAATGTAAAAAGAGTGCACCTTGTCCGGTGCACAGAATCAGTGGCTGTCCTAATAAYGTGACATTACAGACACATCTTGTACATTGTGCAAATTTATCTATTTTAAATCAGATTTTGTTCTGTCTGATACAGATGTTTAATATTCAACACGCTACATGTTGGTTTCTGTAACAAACTGGCAACAACAGAACAAAACTAGTAATGACAATTTTTGTAGTATTTATAAAATAACTATAATTAAGTTTATTTTCTCAAAATGACTAATGGGTTTTTTGTTCTATGGAGGATCTTCCTTCAGTCTCTCCATCATAGAGCTGTTTCCATCATCTGAATTCTAACAGTTCAGCTTCATCTGTGTCTGACGGAGGAAAACACAGAGCTGCTTCTCTGCTGTAGATAAAACACCAACAATATCAAATATGTTTATTTGGGTGAAACAGCTTGGTGACAAAGGTCGGTGCAATAAATTACAACATTTAAACTGATCAGACTCTAAATTACTGTCAAAATGTAACACTGTAACACAGGGGGGTCGAATTCACAAGGGGGCGAAAGTCACACACTTAGTCCAGATCAAGAGACAATTTCTGTTAATATTTATTGAAACAAAATCAAATTATTCTTATTATACTAATTTTATTTTCCAAATTATGGTTTATATTCCATTTAGAACACCCAAAACCTGACAAAGAAGAGATTAAATTTAAAAACAGACCATTGTTAGCATTCATTATTTAATGTTTGACTTTAAAATGAAAAGAAAACACAGAAAAATAAAACTAAAGCTAATGCTCTTTTCACACTAAAATCAAAGATTACTGAAAATCTCAAACTTCATTTTCTTAATATTTGCCTCATTAGTCTTTACAGACAACAGGAAGTGAAGTTTGACTTCAGCATCTGAGGTTTAGGGGGTAAAAAGTGAGACCAGATCCTGTGGGCCATCACAGTGTGTTATTTTAATATGAACACATTACACATTCATTCCTCTCTGCTTTGGCTGTTGTTACACAAAAATGTTTTTTTTTAAAGTTTTTTTAGAAAATAAGTACATATTTTTATTAAAATTTATCAAAAAATGCATTGGTTGAAAAATATTATAAGTTTATTTATTTCATCATGATAAAAAAATAAAACCATAAGCAGGTCAGATGATCTTGCTGTGTTTCTTGTGTGAATCTCWTACAGACAGTTGCTTCAACGTGTGTTTTCCTTCAGGAAAAAAAGTTTGTCTATTTTCTCTCTGAGAATCATCTTTCACTTTCATCACCTATTTTCCAGTTATTTTGCTGTATTTTTGACATAGTTTCCATCACTTTCTGCATAAATAAAATCCATTTTCTATCACATGTTTAGATATTTTTAATGGTGGCGGCGCGCAGGACAGCTGCTGCGTCTTTGCCTTTTTCTCTTCTCTCCTCCTCCTTCTGCAGAGAAGGCAGAGAGAGAAATAAGGAGGTTTTTTCCAATGAAGTGCAGCCAATAAAAAACGTCTGTCGATTGTTTCCCTTTCTTTCTTTTTTATTCTTTTTTTTTTTGTCTTGTTATAATTTGATTAGTCAAATGTGGGACTTTGTTTCAACTTGCGCGACACCGGGACAAGAGTGAAACATGTGAGACAGTCCTGCACAGTTTACCTGGGGCTGTAGGTAAATTACCTGCTGATTATAACTGTCCTCTGTTGTGTGGATGAGAGAAGAGAGAGGAGCTGCTTCTGCAGTTCTCCTCAGCTGGGTGTGAGGGCAATATTATTATTAACAATATTAATACTGTTGCCATTATAGTTGTATACACTAAATAAGAAGTGCAACCAAGGGCGACAGATGGAGCATAACAAACAAAAAAAAAGGCGGGTGCGACAGGGGCACTTGATGGTCTGGAGGGCAAAGGGCAGGTGCTCAGGCACCACCTGACGTCTATCTGTGCACGTCCCTGGTTAAGGGAGTTGTCCTGAAATCAGAGAGTTGGCGGTTTGATTCCCTGCTATTCAGTCACATGCTGAAGTGTCCCTGGGCAAGACACTGAACCCCAACTGCCTCTGATGTGYCCCATCAGTGTGTGATTTAAAGCACTGATTAGTCTCTATAGATTGATTCACCTGTACTAGCTTTGTATAGAGATGTAGTAGGGTGCTGTGTGAATGTGTGTGTGAATGAGGACAGATTGTAAAGAGCTGTGAGTTTCCTGGCTGGGTAGAAAGGTGCTATTATATAAGTACAGTCAATTTACCATCATTTCCAAGTTTTGTGTGGGCTTGCAATTTTCACCAGTCATCAGACCTGCAATCAACTTCCTTCAAGAAGTCAGGGTTTTTTGATCTTCAGCACATTTATGAGTCTATTAGTGCTTCAAGTTATGAACACATGATTCCAGGTATTATGACTGTGCTTCAAGAAGAGTTTGAGACCTGTTTTAACCACCTGGATCCAAAATCACTCAAGGCCTCAGTATGTGGAGTGGTAGATCTGGACATGTTTTGCAGTGGCCTTAAAGAACGACTTCCTGKCCTCAGTATCTTAACCAAACCACACAAAGATGTGATCATAAACCGGGCAGATGCTGAATGAAGAAACAGCATTTACACGATAGTGTTAGCCAACATAAGAAGATTAATCACAGACATTTCAAACTTTGGTCGTCTTGTACCACAACCAGCTCCTCACTACAGAGGCTTTTACAAGGGATGTGATGGAGGGTGGTGAGGAAGACCTGGGGACTAAACAGTTCCATGACTTGATTGCTCTTTTTTAGTGAATATATATACTTTATATGTGTGTGTGTGTGTGTGTGTGTTAAAAATCAAAACAAGACAAAAATAATAACACAATTTTATGAAATGTATTATTTCAAACAAAACATGTTCAGCAATGAAAAGTATGTGATACAATCTGACAGTTTAAGATCAGGTCCGACAGAAGTGAAAATACAGTGTTTACTACTGCAGGTATGTTGACACAAGTCCATCCGTCCGTCCATCCTCTTGCACACTTAATCTGTGCAGGGTTGGGGAACTAGTGTATATCTCGAGCAGAACTGTGTGAAAGGCAGGATACTGAACAGGTTGCAACACAAGAAAAAACAACCAGTCCTGTTTTCACCCACACCTAGTGACACCTCACTGTCGTCARTTAGCCTAACATGTATGTTTTTGGTCTGCTGGGGGAAACTGGAGTACCCTGAGGAAACCCATGCATGCATAAAAAACATATCCACAATTTTACACAGAAAGCTCCCAGGATGGAGGAGAGCCTGTAACCTTCTTGCTGTCAGGCAACAGCCCTAAACACTACTCCATCACACCAAGACRAAATGGATCAGCACCATGGAGACTGTACATCCACTGGACCCTGAGGAGGACCCAGGACATGCTGGAGAGACTATGTCTCTTGGAATCCTGGTGGCTGGGGAAAGAGAGGTCTGGGCCCCCCTGCTCAAGTTCCAGCCCCCCAATACCAGACTTTAGAACAAGTGGTAGATAATSGATGGATGGACCCCGAGGACGGAGAACTTATTCACAAACCAACGTGAGTTAAACAAAAAAACAAGGAGCAGTCCTTTGAAATGTGGTAACAATGACAAACTGGGCATTAGCCTTCAGCACGTGGCTAAGGATAACACAGGTAAAATTTGCTGAAATATGGAGGTTTTTCTTTGATTATTTTAAACATTGATATTTAATGATTTAGTTTATTTTAATTAAAAGTTTGTTGTACTTAGGATAGGATCCTACAGGCCACCTAACTATTCTAGACTAGATTAACACAGCATGTGAATCACACATTGTTAAACCCTTCATACTGAAACTGTACAAACAATTAAAGGTGAGACAAAAGGCTCTTTGAAGGGATCCAGATCCTGACGAGCCATGTGTTTCACAGAGTAGTTCGATTTTGAACAAAATAAGTCATCATGTAGGTAATACTGCTCTGATTCTGATCTGCTGCCCTCCACCACTCTGTCTGTTTCCTAGCATATCTAGCCACCCTGACGCTAAATTTAACTTAAACTCAGTATATAAGAAGTCAAAACTCAATAGTCCTAAACCTAACCCCGACCCARCAATAGCATTTCCCCTCATGGGGACTAGTCTTAGGACCCCATAAGTACCACTTGATTCCCACAAGCACATGTTTATGCTAAAAATGGTCCCCTATAGTAGGGAATACTCACACAAACACGAACAAACCTGCATTCACTGAGTTTGTGATAACTGAGGACTGCAGTTTGCAGTTGTTCGGTGTAACTGTTGGTTCAAAGAAATCAGTTCACACTGTCTGTTCTGTAGATGCTAAATCTGTTCCAGATTAACACAAACAGACCATCAGACACAGGAAATTGGGATTAGTTAGTTTTCAGGTGGTGGCCCATAACTTTTAATGATTAATAACTATCTTTAGACTATCTTTAGACTTTAGATAACTATCTTTAGTTAATATTTGTTAATAAATAAGCTTGCTCTTACACCTCACCAACATAACTGGTGAGCCCTTATTAATTCTCAACACCACTTAAAAACTGTTCCTTTAAGTTTGAAATGACATGAACAGAAATAATGCATGAAATTAAAGGCACATTGAACATGGTGCTTCATTATTCTCTTCAATCTATTCATCCATCCATGTCCTTATGGAGATGTTATTCAGCTATATATTCAACTTTTGCTCCCATTGTGTATGATAAACTGTGGAAGTCACTGTTGTCTTTTTGGTTAATCTGGTCCTTGATGCCTTCATGTGTTGCAACTTCTGCTTTTTCCATTGTTCTCAGCGGTATTAGAAGTTTGCCGTTCTGTTGGGTGGGGGTGCTTACCACTTGGCAGCAGTGAGCTCCCACCTTATCTTTAGTCAGGAAGTAAAGGAGGGCATTGAGCCATGCGTTGAATGAAGCTAAAGGTCTTGTGATTTTATAGCACATTGACACTGCCGTAATGGTATGACAAGGGACCTTTCTAGTCACTTTCAGCACAAGGAAGATGGTTCTTGTAACGTGGAAGGGGAAGAAGCACAGTGCAAAGAGCAGGGTAATGGTGATGATAGTTTTAATAGATTTACGTCTGCGGCTGGCATATGGAGAACGAGCACCCAGGAACACAGATATTTCTCCATCCTTCTCCATTGCTCTTAACAATCCAGTATTTCCTTTTCTTTGTATTTCAGAGATATTTCTGCCTCTTTTGTCCAAACTTCCAATGCCTCCATTTCTCAGACCTTTGTGGGATGATGGTTGAGAATGCAGAGTCCTAAATATGGTCAAAACAACATGAGAGTAGCACCAAGCAATTATGGAAAACGGTAGAAAAAATCCCAGCAAATGGAGTGTGATTCCGTAGGGGACATAATCATGAAACTCCTTGTCTATGGCATCATCCCAACAGTTCTGGTACTCCTCATTGATTTGTCCCAAATTTCCATAGCTGACATTACTGTTTTCAGAGACTATGTGATGGCTTGTGTTCTCAGTAGTTGCACTTTCATTGCTTCCAAACCCTGCTAATCTGGTTACATGACCAGTCTGGGCGAATCGAAAAATTGGGCAAGTCAATGCAAATACTACAATCCAAACCAGTACACAAGTGCACTTAACAGCTTTCTTGGTCTCCAGCGTGATCACTTTCATGGGGTGACAGATACCAAGGTATCTGTGGACAGAGATGCAAGTGAGAAAAAATATGGAGCAGTAGAGGTTGAAATAGAAAAGAAAACGGACCAGACGACACATGAAGTCCCCAAAGACCCAGCGGTCACGCATGATGTAACTAGCTACAAGAAATGGCAGTGACAGACCATACATAAAGTCTGTAGAAGCCAAGTTGACCATGTATATCAGAGAGGCATTCAACCGCTTGGTCTGACGGAAGGAACGATAGAGAACCACGGAGTTCAGAGTGATGCTAAAGATGAACGTGAAAGAGTAACAAATTGGAAGGAAGATGTACTTGTAAGTTTCATCTATGTTACAAGATAAACTTGGGGATACAGGGGAGGATGGGGGAGAGAAGGAGCTTAGGACATCATGGAGTATGGCTCCAGTAATGTTTGGAAGATTTCTGTGTTTGGATGACATCGTAACAGTCAAAGTTCTTTTCCACGAGTGGAGAATCAGGGCAGTCTCTTAAATGCATGGAATTGTTGCTGGATTTCCTTTTTCCATTCTTGCAAATCTGTGCAATCTTGATTTTAGATGGCGTTGTCCCAGAGTTGGTGTAGACCTAGGAAAAGAGTCAGATGGTCAGTAATTGTAACCAGATACTCTATGTTTATGACATCTGCAGAAAGGAGTGTGTCTCATCTGGTTGATGTTTACTGAGCTGTGTTGCTGTTTTCTGGTTCTCTTACACATTTAATTGAATTTCTCTATGCCAGTAGCCCAATATAACAAGGAAATATTGGTCAACAATGCTATCCCAACTCCAAAATACAGTATAACAATGTCAGAGTATAAGTATAACAACGAGTAACTCTTAAAATGAACAGTACTTTGTTTTGTGCATTTCTGACTCTTAACCATGGGTTTTGCTCATAAGTTGAAACATGTACGTTATTTTTAAAGCCCTCTTACATGCTGTGAAATGTTAAATGTCTTAAACTTGTTTGCATGAAGAATGGAACAAAATGCTTAATGTAAACATTTTATCTCTTGTATTTAATCCAAAGATATCTTTAAAATATTGTGAGAAGAAATTACCACATTATAAAGTAGTGTGCTGACCGAGGATTAGGCTGAATGAAGAAACTGTTCCTTTCTTATCGGAGGATGACCAGTTCCTACACTTTAACAATCACAGTCAAAATTAAGCCTGTCCTTGTTGGAAATAAAAGTCAGTGCAAATAGCAAACACCAGTGTTTTCCAACACCTTTTCTATTCTTCTTTGTCTGTTTGCTGGGCTCTTTGCTCTATCTGTTTGACCTCCTGTTGCATGCTGCTGATTTGCACTGTTTGTTTACCTTCCTGTGGAAAGGGGATGCTGCTGATTCAGACCCTTTTTTACCCCATTAGCTCAGCAATAAGTAACCACATTTCCTCACTGTTGTCTTATGGCTTCTCATGTTCACTCCCCTAATATAAAGCAAAGCTGTCAAAGTCTCAGACTTGTTTCTTGTCTCAGAATTTTCTGCCTAGTAAAAAGTGGGTTAAGCAAACAAGTTTGTATATTATTCATCACACTATTTGGTAACATGCTGCATATGTTATGTTGAAGAATCTCAGAATATGAGTCAAAAAATGAGAAGAAATTAAACATGTCGTAAAATGCTGTGGTACATGTTAGTGCTGTCCTCAAGGCTCCTTCTCATGTGGCCAACAAATGCGGCCCAAAAAGTCCTGAAAATGAAGGCTGCATCTAAGTATCCTTCCTGGATGAAGAGATCCCTAGATTCAATGCACCGTCATTAAACTAAATAGAAAAATGAAGACAGCAAAGTTTTTTTTAAAATCAAGTCATTGTAGTTTGTAAATTCATCATGGACCAAATAATTTGTTGTAATAATGTTGCAAGGAGATGCTTTAATAAATTTTAAGTAGAAGTACTGATTCTAGATGTTAGCAGACTTACTTTTGCTCAGCGTTTAATGTGAAATGCATGAAACATACTTTGGGTTCATGTTGTTCCTCATATTGTTTGAAGGAGCACACACTGTTATTTCACAAAGGTGCATTAAATTAAATCTGTCTCATGACATGACGTACAATAAACCAACAGGAAACAGAAATAAACAACAAACGAGAGCACCAGGGGCGGTTCTAGGGGCAGAGCAACAGGGACATTCACTCCTGCTGGAATCTGACTGGCCCCCTAAAGTGCCCCTGTCCTGTCACTCATCTGTCCTTTGCCAGAGAGCAATGATGGTCAGTGCAGTTCCATGTCYAATCACTAGTGTTGCTAATGAGTCAAATGGGAAAACCTAGCATGAATCAAGCTCATACTGTATAAGTATTTTTGAGAAAATTTGAACAATCCTGAAGAAAAAGTCTTTCAGTTGACAGTTGATGGCTTGATTTTCTCACAGGCCGTGTTGGAGAGTATTTTATGTATGCATAAAAAATACATGTAAATTTCTTAAGAAGAATTTATTGTGCAAGCTTTGTTTAATTAAAAGTGTTGGAACACGTGTGACTGGTCAAACATAGAGTCCATGTAGACCACGGCCAGTGTTGGCCACAGCCTACGTGGGCTGTAGGCCTCTCCTGTCGGCTGCCTAAACAGCTGCTTGAACGGCTGTGAAATGAGACCGTCTAGTCTATGGAAGACGTATGTTTGCGTGATCACGAGCTGCCTCGTCACCACAGTGATACATTTTRTATCACATTGTTTCAGTTGATTTCCTATGGTATGTGTTCTTCACAAAATTCAATTTTATTAGAAAAATGTTAAAAGTTGTACCACCAGAGGTGTCAAAAGTATTCACGTTCATTACTTAAGTAGAAGTATAGATGCTAGGGTTTAAAAATACTTTTTTGGAAGTAGAAGTATCAACTCGAGCTTTTTACTCAAGTAAAACTATAGAAGTACTGGTTTTAAAACTACTTAAAGTATAAAAGTAAAAGTAATGAACACTATTAAAAAAGTCCATTAAAGATAAAATCTAATGGTGCGTTCACACCGAACGCGATTTCAGCGTCAGGAGCCTCAGGTTTACATACAAAGTCTATGGTGGACGCGCTTCAAGCAACGTCGGGAAGTTCTGCGGCGCCTCAAGCGCGATTAGAGCAGCGCGATTTGAACGATTTGAACGATCTGAGCGTTCGACGCGCTGAGGCGCAAATCGCTGCAGTTAGAAAATCTGAACTTTTGCAGCTCGACGCGCTGCGTCAACCAATCAGAGAGACTCCACTGTGTGACGTAGCGACATATTTCCCGACGGGACAGTTTACTGAAWGATGTCCACTAACCTGAAACAGACAGAGCTCCTGCTCTTTAGCTGAAATGAGTGCTGCAGTCGTGTCCTGATCCGCAGCAATGCGTGACAGCGACTCATCAGACTGAAAAAATAGTCCTGAAAGCAGCTGTGAGCCTCTTCAATGAATTATCTGGTGAATTAATTATGAATTAATTATCTGATGAACGTGACACGCTCTTGCTCTCTGTAAATAAAGCAAAGCCACTTCCTCGTCCGACATTAAACAGAGCCCGACAGAGGAGGGAGGGGCGGGGCGGCTGTCGCTGTGCAGCGCTTCAAGAGCTGACCTGCGTCTGACCTCAAAGTGCACAAGCTTCAAACTTCAGCGTTGGCTGCGATTTTGACGCTGAAATCGCGTTCGGTGTGAACGCAGCATCAGGGTTTATAGCATCCACCCCCCACCCACACACACAATTTTACTTCTAAAATCAATAGTGAGTATAATGTTAAATTAAAATATTGAAAATTTTGGAATTAACTGGCCAGACTTAGCCTGGTAAAAATCAGATCTTTGTCCTTCACTTTGTTATGTACGAGGGTCTGGATTCGCAGCTATACAGAAGCGATTTTTGCTGGAGGCGTGGCCTCTGCTGAAGTTTAAAATGATTGGATCGGTTGGCCATGACGTATGTCGCTGTAAAAGAGGCTAGGCTAAGAAGCTAACAAGAAATTGCGTGTGCTGTAAAAAACCCTACAGAGAGAAGAAATGTACCGACCCAAATGAGACGACTGTAAATGTGAGCTGCTGCTTTGTCAGACAAATTTAATTTAATTTGGAAGCCTTATCAACATTGACTGGCTTCATTCACTCCCTCCACTGCCATTGATAAAATAACTAACAGACACTGCGCAGAAACTCAGCATAGTTCAAAACTCCGCCTTCTGTTTGCTGATTGGCCCAGGTAAAATAAACTATGCAGACTGTGCTGAAAATCGACGTTCTGATCTCTGATTGGCCCGGACGAAAACTCTCCCAAAGAAATCCTTGTCTATGGGAGAAATCCTAGACTTAGCATTGAAGAGAACCTACTACACAGGTGTGATGGAGTGAGTTCAATCCAATAGGATGTCAGAATGGTTTATATTTACACTTTTTACACTTATATTTACACTTCTCATCAACCACAATCAATTTCACTCTATCCATGGGCTCCATGTGTCTGGATAAATTTATATTTATTAATTTTTTTTCTGAACGTAGAAAAGATGGAATAAAACAAGTCAAAGTTAAATATATATGAAATACTTTTTGCATTTTTAAAAAGTAAGGAGTAGAAAGTACAGATAATTGAATTAAACTGTAAGAAGTAGAAGTAAAAAGTAGGCTGAAAAATAATTACTCCACTAAAGTATAAATAACCAAAATTACTACTTAAGTAAAGTAACAAAGTATTTGTACTTAGTTACTTGACACCTCTGTGCACCACTAAGGTAAGGTACCACTTTACAATAAGGCTCTCCTTATAGATGGCTTATAAAAAGGTTAATGACTAGTAATAAACATGTATAAATGGTAAATGGACAGAACTTATAGAGCGCTTTGTCAAGGCTCTCAACRACAGACTTGTAGAAGATCTGCAGCATCTTGCTGCAGACATTGAAGGATCTCAGCTTCCTTAGGAAGTACAGTCTGCTCTGTCCTTTCTTGTAGACTGCTTCACTGTTGAGTCTCCAGTCCAGTCTGTTGTCCAGATGAACACCGAGGTATTTATATTCCTCAACCACCTCCACTTCTTCTCCCATGATGGAAACAGGGTTTCCAATGTAGAAACCCAGTCTGAAATGTTTAATGTAGCACCTTTAGATGAAAAATGTACATGAACAGATTTGGCTCACTTTTTGGAAAGAAACTTGAAAGTTTTGTCTCTTTCTCATCCTTAATTAATATATAACTTGTTAATGGTTTATAAAGCGTTTATAGATGAATTAATAATCAATCTATAAACTATTTATAAATCATCTACAAGGGGAGCCTTATTGTAAAGTGGTACCATAAAGAAAACACATTAATTTTGGTTTAGCTCCAGTATCAGTAACTGCATTTTATTTAATAACTCACTGCAACAAAAGCTTCATCAGSTAAGTTGCTAAACATAGAGTTAAAAACAAATTCTTCAGTCTGTAATAAATTACTGAACTTTGACATAAGGAAAATAAAACTCTGCTGTAAAATAAAAATAAAAAAACTCTGCCGTCTTTGTTTTTCTGTTTAACTTGCTGACGGTGCAATGAATTCTGGGATACCGTTGGCCACATAGGATACTCTGGCCTGGCCCCAATACTTGATCTTCCACCCTTTGGTTTATGCACTTTCTTCTCYTAACGAATGTCTGTGGATGAGTGACTGAGGGCACAGATTGTGTCATGAAGCGCTTTAAGTACACATCCAATTTCAATGAAGTTGGGACATTGTGTAGAACAAATACAAACAGAATACAATCATTTGCAACATTCYAACTTCATAGAAATGGGGGTTGTAYTTAAGTTGGCTGGAAAGRTGATATATAAGTACAGTCCATTTACCATTAGAGAAAAGTGGTTCTACAACAAGCCTCAAATTTAATTTTACACAAACAAAAGGAGAAGAGTCAAACRAGTCAAGGTCACTGTTGCAGCTCCAGGCAAGTGAAGAAGTTTTTTTCACATCTGAAAAGGAGAGACCCAGTACTGTAATCATTAGGATTCATTCACCCTCAATGACAGGAAATCTAGCAAAACAATACCCCACAGACATAGGTGCTCCTTCAGAAGTATCTCCYAAAGCAGCAACCATTGGAAACTAGTTCTTGACCCAAAATGACAAGAAAATCACCGCTGAATTCTGAGTGTTTGTGACCATCAAGCCATGAAGCTGCATTTCAAATGGCCAGCTTTTGAAAATCACAGCCTGCTTTTGTGTGCAGTTTGCAGAAATGTATTGTTGGCTGTGCACATTATTTTGTTGCCTCCCTCACTTTCTAAACCTGTTTTGTACTYATCTTGGTAGCTGCCACCAATTATGGTTTCATCTACTTGTGTACACTTTAGAAGTGGAGACAGGCCAGTTTGAACCAGTTTTTCAACAACTATGATTTATTATGTGATTTTAAGATTTGTGGTTAGAGCCTCGAGTGTATTCTGTCAGTGGAGAGCTCTGTGCAGGTGTCAAAAGAAAGTTTTAGTGCCCTAGAATTGCTGAGAAGGATTTGAAAAAATGACTGCAATTTTTTTTGAGAGAAACTTTGTGAGAATTTTTTTTTACAAAATGTTCAAAGTTCACACGACAAAACTGCAACCCTTTGCAACTTACAGAAGAAAGCCGAGAGCCACCATTAACTTTTATTTGAACGTTTAGGAGACTCTCTGGTCTTATTGAAGCGTTAGGTTTTGTTATAATGGGGAGTTTAATGTATACTGTATTTTTTATGATACCATTGAATAAACAGGAAKCACTGGCTGCGTAAAATGGTGACTGTGGTAACTCAGAGGTCAGTGATGTGGTCTTGTAATCCTGAAGCAGCATATTTAAGCCCAGGTTGCTTTAGAAAATACATCAGATGTAAAACAATCATGAGTTTGCTCCTTGTTGCAACCCCTGCAAAAAGGAATAGCTGAAAGTAAAGCAGCAACACTGGCCGTGAAAAATGATGCAGATCAGTTTGGGTCTTTAATTTAAAAGTCCTGAATGAATTTAAAAGGTTGCAGCACTTATATTATTTCCTAATTATAGTTTCATAAAAACAGGAAAAACTACTTGTTTAAGACACGAAGTCTTATGTTTTTAAAGTCTCCAAACTAATTTTTCCTTAACAGTCAAAATGCACTTTAAGCCACACAGATTCAATGTCAGGAAACCTTAAGCCTCTTTGTTTTATGTTTTATTTTTATTATCATTAACAGTTATTTTTGGGGTTTAAAAAGGTTGGCTGATGGGAAATGTTCTGGAACTAAAACAGCTGTTTGGTGTCTGAAAACATGAGGATTAGTTTACTGTTTGAAAGGAAATGGAACAACTCATAAATATCTAAATCATCACAATCGGTTGTTAAAAAGAGAACTTACCAGAACCAGAAAGGTTCACTCCATTTGAGCCCTGGTCCAGATGCTACCTGTTTAATTACACACAAACCAAAAAAATACAAAAACTAAATCCCAAGGGTTTAAAATTCAGCTCCGTACTGAGCAGCAGCAGCTGGATCAGGGAACATTCACTTTTGGACCTTTTAGCTCATTCTGCTGCTTCTCTGAACAGCCTCAGCAGTTTCCTTGGTGACCCAATCCCTCCCTCCGTTCCTCAGTGCATTTCATCCACTTCTTTTTCTGCACTTTGCCTCTGTGCGCTCATGTTTTTCCAACTTGTTGACATCAGCTGATGTGTGTGCCATGATGTAAACTGATAAAAAAAAACACATAGAGTAAGTATTTAAAGCTTATAGGGAGATTCTGCAGTGAGGTTCTGTAGACAAAGTATAAACAGTTTATATCTTACCAGTTAGAGATAGCCTCTCCCTGGGCTGCCACCTTATCATAGTGGAGAGCTTTGAGTGTCCCAATGATCCTAGGAGCTATGTTGTCGGGGGCTTCATGACCCTGGTAGGGTCACCCAAGGCAAACAGGTCCTAGGTGAGGGATCAAAGTGCAGCCCAAAGACCCCTATGATGAATACGATGGATGGATTCAGTGTTCCCTTGCCTGGATGCGGGTCACCGGGGCCCCACTCTGGAACAGGCCTGGAGGTGGGGCACGTTGACGAGTGCCTGGTGACCAGGTTTTTGCCCATGGAGCAGGCCGGTCACAGCCTGAAGAGGAGACGTGGACCCTCCTTCCCATGGGCTCACCGCCTGTGGGAGGGGCCGTAGGGGTCGGGTGCCATGWGTGTTGGGCAGTGTTCGAAGGCAGGGACCTTGGCAGTCTGATCCTTGGCTACAGAAGCTGGCTCTAGGGACATGGAATGWCACCWYTCTGGTGGGGAAGAAGCCTGAACTGGTGTGTGAGGTTGAGAGGTTCCGACTAGATATAGTTGGACTCACCTTGACGCACCGCTCTGGCTCTGGAACCAGTGTCCTCAAGAGGGGTTGGACACTCTTCCACTCTGGAGTTGCCCATGCTGAGAGGCGCCGAGCAGGAGTGGGCTTACTTATTGCCCCCCCATCTCGGTGCCTGTACGTTGGGGTTCACCCCGGTGAACGTGGGGGGACGGGTTCTCACGTGGGTAATGACAGTGAGACCTGGAGGGGCGTGGTTGGGAGGAACGGCCCCCCCGACCTGAACCCGAGCGGTGTTTTGTTATTGGACTTTTGTGCTCGTCATGGATTGTCCATAACAAACACCATGTTCAAACATAAGGGTGTCCATATGTGCTCTTGGCACCAGGACACCCTAGGCCGCAGCTCGATGATCGACTTTGTTGTCGTCTTATCTGATCTTCGGCCACATGTCTTGGACACCCGTGTAAAAGAGAGGGGCAGAGCTGTCAAMTGACCACTACATGTTGGTGAGTTGCTCCGGTGGAGGGGCAGGATGCCGGTCAGACCTGGCAGACCCYAACGTTTAGTTATGGTCAATATAAATCTCTTTTAATAAAAGACAAAAAAACCCTCTTTAATGTCACTAAAATAAATAAGATTAAAAGTTCACGAGATAAAAAGCTAAATATAATGTAAGAATAAAAAGACAGGACAAAAAGGAGAAAACAAAAGTAAGATGAAAACAAAACAAAAGTAAGTTAAATAAAGACAAAATTAAGAAGAAGTTAAAGGTAAAATCTACTTTTATTTGTCTCAAAGGAAATTTGTGGCACATCCATAATAACAATACACACATACAAAATAAGAAACATGCAAAAATATTTGAAAATGAAAAAAAAAACTTTATTATTTACTTATTTGTTTAGTAGAAACTAGTTTAATTTACAAATCGGCTTTTGATTCCCTTTCCTGATAGCAACAAATGAAACAAGAACTCGTAAATCATTTAAGTAATTGATGCGTTTCTACATACCAGTCTCAGTGTTTCCGTACTACAGTATTATCCAAGGACATCCTGTCCCCTAATGAAGGTATTCAGAAAAAATTAGGTACATTTCTTAAGTTACTAAATGTTTGTTTGTGTTCACATGTGACCAACTCCCTGTGGCTGGGGAGATGTCAAAGCTGATAAATAATCAAAACTCATCCCTTCCTCTAGCACCACACCTCCGACCTCCTTGGGACTTTTCTAACTAAAAGCAACATTGTATTAAATCCTAAGCATCCAGGGTGTCATCATTTATGCACAGACATGTTTGATTTGTGAGCGTAAACTCCTGCTAACAAAGATACTGTTTGTCTGTTTCTGCTGCTTCAGTTTATAGAATTAAACAATAACACTAAAAGCCCACAGATTATAGCAAAGGAATGTCTACATTTAACTCTTAATTACCACTCCACAATATTCTCATTGTGAAAGTCAGTTTCAGATGATTATAATTTATCATAAAGTTCTGCAAATTTCAAGTCTACACAAGATTAGAACAATACAAACAAGGTTTTGGCTTTCTGGATGCCCATAGCTTGTTTGCACACTGCGATGGAACTGTACTTTAATAAATGTAGTTCAATAAATGATCAATATGAAAAATACATTATTTAAATAGTTACATGACCAGAAAACCTTTAAATATAATTCCTTTGAATGAAATAGTAATTTTAAGGGAAAATCTTTTAGCTTGGCAAATATAATAAACTACTAATTTATTTAATTTTATTCTGTGCAAAGGTTATAATGTTAYAATAAAAACCATCAACCTTTTTAATGTAACAAATTTATATAAAGGCAAAACAACCCTTTGAGAGTCAGTCTTTAAGAGTTTGATCTATGTAAATACATTTTAAGTAATAAACATTCACAGTGTGAGGATTATGTTTGAAAATTTCAAATTATGGGCTTCTTTTTGGCTAAAAATACTATAAGATTAGCAATAACCCAGACAAACTAGACAAAGAGAATTTAAAAAATGAATGTAAAAACTGAAATTTGGTCTTCATATTTGATCATTTATTAAATGACAATCAAAATGTTACGACCAAGTAAAAAGGAAAACAGAAAACTTAGTAAAAAAATGTTTTGTTGTTATTCTACTCGTTCATCAAATGTTAAATTTATTGCTGTTATTGAAGCAAAACAAACTTTAATTATTGACCCTAGGCCCTGAAACTTAAGGGAAGCACTGGATCAAGATAGAGGTCTCTTTATCCCAAATAAGCTTTAAATTTCAGTTCAACAGACAGGCTGACAATCCATATCTGTAGGTCACACTGTTCAAAATCTGAATTTTACAGTCTGTACCAGATACTCTAAGCCTCCACATGGAACAAAGATTTTTAACATGAGCATCCCACCTGTGTCCAATGTCCACCTGTAGACAGGTTTTGTTTTGCTTTTCAATTGTAAGGCCGACCCAGCTCCGCTCATCCTCCTTACCCCAGGCCTGATTGTGTTTGCTTTTAGCAGATGTGGGTGGCATTATCATATTAAAAACAACCAAATCTTATTTCATCATCAAATCGGGCCGAGCAGCTTGACCTGAATAGAACCACAGGTCTTGGGGTACCAGAAATTTGGCTGGAATTGGGCCACAAGGGTGAACCCCAATTTGAACCTAGGCTGGACCTTACAGTGCAAAAAGCCATCTAGATATTYAGAAAGAAACCTGATTCATTGATACACTGAAGAGCCAACCGTCTGCTTTACCCACTTTTCCATGCAGAGTCTATGGGAAGCTGGTACTTATGTCCAGCAGTCACTGAGTGAGAGACTGGGTACATCCTGGAAAGGTCTTCAGTCCATCACATGGACACAGAGACAAACTACCATTCAAAGTCTCACCCACGTCTTTAAACAATTAAGAGTTACCAATCAATGAACCCAGTATGAATGTTTCTTAAAATTATTTTCTTAAATAACCACTGCAGATTAAATCACAAATGTGGGGGCAGCTGCTATGGTGGGTACAAAGTGGGCATGATGTGGGGAAGCAGACACTAAAATAATGTGCACAGCCTTGAACGTAGTTTTACAAAACATGCATGCAATAATAAGCTGTGATTTTTAAGAACAATTCTTGCAAAACTTAGCTGCACAGCTTGCAGGCCACAAAGACTATTTCAGAGAGACTACAGTTGAAAATTTGTGAATTTTCTCACAATTTTGATTTTCCAACAATCATAGTCCAGTGAGATCATCGCTGAAGAGAACAGACTGAGCCGTAATACTTGCTGAAATGTTTTAGTAAAGCTCAGCTAGATTTAGTAGCGGGCAGGAAAGGGGGATGTCCGGTTCTCTGACCTGCAGCACTTGTTGAAATATTTTAGTGAAGCTCATCCACTGATGTCCTTACAGGGCCATGAGGTCCTGAACCTCCAGTAACTTGGCATCCTGCTCAGTCCTCAGCTGGTCTCGGATGTGGAGCCGACTCACCAGTTCCGAGCTTCTGTCTGACAGGAACAAATGATAAAAAAGATTAAAGCCCATCACAGTTTGAACTGCACATCACACATTTTTACAGACGTTACAAACTTTTTTTTACATCAAAACAATGACAAATTTACAACAATTTCCTGTTTGTTGTTCAACTATTTGTATGCTTGTGAAAAACTCTGTTCTCAGTAGTGAACTGAGGCAGTATTTCTGAGGGTGAAGCATGTCGGACGTTTTGAATAGAATAGAATAGAATAGAATAGAATAGCCTTTAATTGAATGTATTTATTAAGATACTCTAAACACAGAGACATCAGGGGCAGAACTTAGAGGCTTAAAGGGATGTCTGACTACCTGCACGCTGGCCTTATTATGCTCTTATCTTCCTAATCTACAAAAAATATTTGTGACGTGAAAACCTTTACTTAAAAATGTTATGTTTGTTACATCAACAGGGATATTACTTAGAACAAAATCAGAGTAAGTGTATGGGGTTACACTTCTTTATGACAGGTAAGGCAATCAAACTGTTACRAAGGTGATCAAGTACAACACTGAAAACTTAGACCTTCAGATCAAAAGAGCAGCGACTCTTGCTCCTATAACCTTTAGGTTGTTCTTTTGGCCACACTCTTTCACAGTGTTCCCAGAACAGGCAAAACCAACATGAAAGATTCGGCAATAGTTTTACACCGCATGCCCTTCTGGACCACAGACCTGACCACGGAGCTTCTGCAGCCCCAGTATACTCAGGCGTGCAATAATAGTTTTCACATTCTTAACAGTTTCCCCAGCATGCCCTTTAGGTGTCACCAACCGACCAAAATCTGTAGAAAAATGTGTACACCAGCTAGTACGTTGGCATGAGGTTGATCACATTCTTTGTAAAGTTGATGCATCTGAACCGTTGTGTGGAAAAGGGTGTGCACCACATTTTTGTGCAAACGAGTACAAGAAGCTGCAGGAAACTAATAAACTCAAATTTTCAACTTCTCCAGAGTGTGAGTGAGCCAAAGAGTGCATAGACACTGGACCAGAACCCAAACGCTGGAATGAGATCAGCTTCCTTGTCAGCTAGCTGCAGTACAAGTTTTAAGTCCCGTCTTTTCATGTAAACAAAAAAAGACACTGTAAAAATAACATAAAACTCAGATTTTGTTATTCAGGTCTTCACTGTTCTTCATTTTCTGGACTTCTTATCTTGCTGCTGTTTGTTGAACTATTGTTTTTAAACAAATGTTTAACTGTAATTTGTTACGTCATGTGACATCATGATTGCCTGCAGGTGAGTTGGCAGGGCTTAAAGAGACATTGACAGTGTGTAAACACTGGGTTCAAAAATCCAACATGGCAGCTTCTGTAAATCRCTCCCTGCTTGCTTCAAGTCCCAACAAGCTGCTCAGCTTGGGCAAATGTGTTGAAGTGATTCAACACAATCTACTGGCTTCCTTAGATTTATTGTTTTTTTGTATGGTGCCCTGAGATGCCGTTTATTGTAACTTGGTACTATATAAATAAACTGTATTGAACTGAAGTGAGTGAACAGCAAAAGAAGACAGGGACAGTTGGTCTACCAGTATAAGTCTACGGTAAAAACCCTGGAACATAAAGTACCTTGAATGTCCTTGCTGAGAGACGCACAGAGTTCATTCAACTCCTTCACACGGAAAGTCTGCAGCTCATCAAGCTCAAGATGCTTCCTCTGCACCAGAGGTTCTCTTCCAGTTGCAGGCTGAGAACATAAGAATATTTTACAGAAACATCAACTCCCTAAAATCACAACTAACAAAACCTTCTCTAGTGCACTTTCATTTATTTACTCACAAAACATGTGCATAGAAGATGAATAATCTGAAATCATAATGTGAACATGTTGAATTAACTTGTAGGTTAGAGTGTGGACTTGTAGGTTAGAGTGTGGACTTGTAGGTTAGAGGGTGGACTTGTAGGTTAGAGGGTGGACCTGTAGGTTAGAGGGTGGACCTGTAGGTTAGAGGGTGGACTTGTAGGTTAGAGGGTGGACTTGTAGGTTAGAGGGTGGACTTGTAGGTTAGAG